CGGCGTCCATGATTGTAGCCGGGGAGCAACCGTGACGGGCTAAGTCCTCGCAGTGGCCACGTCGGAAAGCATGACTAGAAAAGGTATCAGGGTCCGGGATGCCGACCGCACGGAGGGCGTTGCGCAAGCGATAGGTGAAGGAGGTGATAGATAAGGGCACTAGGAGGGAGTCAGGAGGACGGCCCACGGAGAGAATTACGAAAGCCCGATGTGGACAAATGTCGGGAGCGGAGCGACATATACAACGGCGGAAAATGGTGTGTCCGGTGGACCAATTCTTGCGACGGCGGAAGTGTATGCGCAAGGAGCAAGAGGAAGAGAGCACAATATCATGCAAACGCAGAACCAGCAACTCCGAGGGAACCCGAGTCAACAACTGGTAGCTTAAAACGCAGGCCGCTCCAAACAAAGTATCACCAGAAGCGAACGCCTCGCGGACCAAGAGACGCAGAAGAGACACGCGTATGCACGGACGAACCGACGGGCGGGAGGGGGAGGAGGCCTGGAGGCCCTGAAGAACACGACGTAAAAAAGGGGTGAGAGAAGGGAACGGTAGATCCAGAAGAGCATGAGCTGTTCGTAAGCCTGCCAGGTAGGCACGAGCGGTACCGGCAGTGCGGAGAGTACTAAGCCAGTAAGGCAGAAAAGGAGCAGCAGCCGGAAAGGCTATAGCTGAGAGGACTCCGCGGGAGCGAAGAAGACGCACAAAACGCGTCCAGGAGGCCACCGCGGTCGCGTAAGACCGAGCTGTAGACGGTTGAAGTGACTGGGCAGCTAGAGTACGTGCTCGTGAGTCGAGTACGTCGAGCAGGGAGGTGGCCGGCAAGCGTTGAAGGGAAGGCAAGGTGGGGGGAGCCGTTAGTGAGGAGGAGGCACGTTGGATGCTCCGGGCCGCCCGCTCGCGGGAAGGAGCAGGCAATGAAGAAGATGACGGGTGGGAAGGTGGAGACGCGGACATCGGATGGAGGCTACGCTGGAGCGAGAGATGCAAATAGAGCAGCGAAACACAACAGAGTGTGTAAGAAACAACTGGAGGAGTTAGGGCCCGAGGCCAAAAACAGAAGGAAGGAAAAGAGAGGTAAGAAAAACAAGGGTTGGGGGGGGGGCGTAAGACCCGGAAAAGCGGAAGGTGACGAGTAGCGGGAAGAGGCCTCACTTTGGATGCCCAGAAGCAGACGAACGGGAAGAGGCTGGGCCGGACGGCGAAGGCTTCGGAGCGGGAGGAGAAGAGGACGGAACGCTTGGTGGGGAGGGATAGGGAGCCGCCCGGCGAGGACGGAAGCCCTGCTGTTGCCGAGAGGGACCACTTGAGGAGGGAGGACCCCGAGCTCGCAGGGCACGGTCCATCTGCGAGCGGCAGTCAATCACCAGCATAGAGTCACAAGTGCCCAACTCGGCTCCAGTTACCGAAGATCCTGCACGAAGTGATGCGGCAACCGCAGAACGGTGGAGCTGGTCGTAGAGAGCCGCGGTGTAGGGACCATGGAGCTCCACATACTTGGAACACCATACCAGGTGACCTAGGACCGCGGCCAAAGGCAGGTTGGTGGTCAAAAGGGCAAGGATGCACCATCTCACGAGTGACGGAACGAAGGCCGACGGACGGAAGTTTGGTTTGCCCGCCAAGGAGGTAGAGGCCCTGGAGGCAGCCAGGAGACTTTGGGGAGTAACCTCAGGAGAATGCGAGGGAGTGGTGTCCCCGAGGACGGAAAGGTTGAGCTCGAGTGTCGCAATGGTGGCTACCAAATGCTCCGCAGAACCGTTGCTAGTGACCGTATCGAGCAAGCTAGACGAGGGAATGACACGGCCGTCGAGACCCTCGAGATGACGGGCGCAGAGGGCTGCAGGGAGATCGAAATGGCACACCGTGCCAAACCCAGAGCGCGGAGGGTTGGGGTCCGCCGCGGCAGATCCAGAGGGAGGCAGACGGGCAGCTAGCAGACGAGTTACTGTACGAAGGATAGTTCGAGCCCCCACCCGCTCGGGACCTGGTAGTAAAAGCTCAATGTCCTCGCGAGTGAGCTCCTGGACGCGGACCACCGGCCTGCAGACAGGTAGCAATAGAGTCCACTATTTCAGCAGAAGGGCGGAGGCTGAAAAGCGCAGCGTTGATTTCAGCCGCGAGTTGATCGGTCGCGGCAGCTTCCGGCACAAGGTGGGGGACCTCGTCGGATACAAGCAAGTCGGCCGTCACGGCATCCAGACGGGCGGGGAGCGACGGACCGGAGGACGACGAAGCCACCCGGCGGGACGAACGTCGAGAACCACGGCCAACCACAGGTGGAGGCTCGGGAAAAGCGGTAGAAGGAGATAGCACGGAGGAGGTGGGTGGAACAGCAGGCGCAGACATAAGAAGGACAAGTGCTGTAAAGTAGCGGGGTGCAGGCGTGCCGTGACGTGGCAGGACAAAGGGTGACGCGAGCGGCTACAGCGCTTCCCACGTCACAGGAGACGTCGAGCACATAGTAGTCCCAGAACGGAATGGCAAAATACAGACGAGGAGGGCGCAAGCGAAAGCGCTGGCTGCTGAATGGTGATGAGGATGTAGACGGGCCACGGGAGCCCGAGCGGGCGCATGCACACGAACCAGAGGTGGAGGATAGAAGAGAAATGTCGGTGTGTGAAAAGAACGAAGACCGTGGAGCCGAAGAAGACAAGGAAGAAGGTGGAGGGCAGATCGTGGTAGGATCGTTGAGGGTACCCCGAGTAGAGCCGCTATGCTCCTACCACCCGAAAGGGACCGACATACATTATTATCGGTCAGGGAGACGATTCCGAGTGGAGCCGCCAGGAATGCCACAGGCAGACCTCGAAGTGGAGCCGGAAGAACACATACGCATGGCCCGAGGGATGCTACACCCGGACGATGTGGAGGGTGCCCTACCGACGACGTTGCAAGAAGCCATCAGGACCGCTGCCAAGTTGGGGCTGGCTTTGAAGGAAAAACGCGCCAAAGTCATGGAAAAGATTGCGGAAGTGGCACAGGAGTTGGAACCCCTACGAGAGGAGTGGGGCAAAAAGTTACCCGTGTGTTGTGAGCAACTGCATCTACCGTTATTGGACTATCTAGCACGGCTGACTGGGTATCCTGATCGGGCGTGCATCGATGAGCTACGAGCACACGGGGGACTAGCTTTTGTTGGGCCTATCGAAGCGCAGGGTATATTCGCGGCGAAGAAGCCCAGCGGACGGCCGAGGAAGAAGAGGAAGTTGGCTACCAAAGAGGATGTGACACAGTACGCGCACCGTCAACTAGCACAACTCGAGAGCGATAGAGTAGACCCAAGCGAGGCAGAGCAGTGGATGTGGAACCAAGCGATTGCGGAACGGGATATGGGCCGATTGGAGGGTCCGTGCGGGGTGGCGGAAATGCAACAATGGGAAGCCCTTGGGGTAACACGGAGGCACGTTGTCGTGCAGCCGACGAAGTGGCGGCCATGCGACAACTACCGAGGGAGCCGTGTCAACGAGCTGGTGGACGTAAGGCATAAGGTGACACTGCCGGAGTTGGACACCACCCTGCAGGTCGCACGGGAGGTGTGGAGGGCGCACGGAAAAGCCGTGCCGCTGTCACTGTGGAAGAGAGATCACCGTGACGCATACAGGCAGGTGCCGATCAACCCTGTAGAGTCGATGTGGTCGACAGTCGTGTTACGCGATCTCGAAGGGCGATACCAAGGATTCAAGCATCGGGTCTACCCATTCGGGGCTGTGTCGTCCGTGAGCGGATATCTTCGGCTGAGTATGTTAGTCACGCATGCGGCCAGGGTGGTCCTGAGCTGCGGGTTGCAGTCGTATCTCGACGATTTTTACGCAGTGGAAGCTACCGCAACCGCACAAAGCGGGTTTGATGCATTTGGAGAGCTCAATCGTCTGGTGGGGATGAGGATCAAGGAGGAGAAGGATGTGGCATGCACGCAGAAGGCTACCGTGCTGGGAATAGAGATCAACACCGAGATCCTAGGCACGGTGGAGTGTAAGCTGGGGGCGGCGCGAAGAGACGCGCTGTTGGTGGACGTCGCGCGAGCGCTAACGACGTCCTTTCCCGAGGGGGCGGAGGGAAGAAAGCTTGCGGGGAGGCTCAGTTTCGCCTGCAGCGTACTCCGAGGGAGGAGTGGACGTGCCTATGTGAGGACCCTGATTCGGGAGTCCCTGAGGGAGCATACCGAAGCGGACGAAGACCTGAGGGCTGCTCTTTGTGGGATGGCGAGATTGTTGGGTCGAGTCGGAGAGCAAGGGACCAGCCGTAGCGTAGAATGTAGTACCAAGCGCATGACCCACAAGCACGTGGTAATATACACCGACGCGACGGGGGACGGCGGAGTAGCTGCTGTGGCTACCGCCGCAGACGGGGAGAGAGTGTGGTACTGTCAAGGAACGGTTCCAGAGTGGTATAAGTGCATGCTGCAAGGAAGGGTGAACCAAATAATGGCGTATGAGTTGTACGCCCTGGCCATGGGAATAGCAACTTTTTGTACCGATCGCGACCGGGGGTATGTGCTGTTTGTCGACTCGGAAGCAGTCAGGGCGATGTTGACTCGAGGGTCGGGTCAGCCACCAGACATGAATCGCATCGTCGGGCGAGTCTGGGATCACATCGCCGCGGAGCTGATGAGCGTGTATTTCAGCAGGGTCACGAGTAAGGCAAACGCCGCAGATGGACCGTCGAGGGGAAAACCAGTGAGCCGGCATTGGCGATTGGTGCCAGGGAAGATGCCGTGGTTTGTGTTAGCGCCGTAAGAGGAATCAACGGCGAGGCATCAGTAGGCGTGATCGCAGGAGCGGCGGCAACTGTAACAGTCGCGTCGTAGCCGACGATTCGTAGGACACATTGTCGTTGCGTTGTAACAGGCGGGGTGAGAGCGAGAGCCGCGGTGCGAGGCCGAGACAATGAACAATGAACAACCGAGCAGCCCGGGAGGCGCTCGAGGTTGAGAGGAGGCTGTCCGCGGGGGAGAAGAACTCCGGTGACAGCAGGATGCGGTGGCTCGTGCAGCGAGCAGGAGGAAAGGCCGAACGGTGGGCAAACAAAAAGAATACCCCCTGACGGTCGTTAGAGACCTCAGCGCGTGGGCTGACTTCGGCCACCGCGTGACGCGGCAGGGTGACCTCCCGCCAACTGCACATGCGTGCGGATCTCCTCCGGCCCCTGAGAGTTTTACTTCGTTACACACCTGTACCGTACAATTGTACGAAACGAGTTCCACGACTTGTGCGAATCTGTTGATTTGTTGTCGAACGTGGTAGCCTCCCGCGCGCCACAAAATTATCGGAAAGGAATTTTCGCATTCTGAGATTTCACTTTCTGGAACGTGTTTCAGAATGAATTCTAAAGTTCCCTGAACACGTTCGGAATCTATTCTGGAACTTTTTCCAGAATGTGTTTGGGGGGCTGTTCTATGAACGCGATTCTGGTGTTTTGCATTCTGGAATGTGTTCTGAGTTTCGGAATGGGTTCTCTGAACATCCCGGGAGTGTCAGAGGAGTGTCGGGCGAAGCGAAGCCAGTCTCCAACTAGCTTAGCAAGTTACATCCATAGTACGATGGAATCACGCTGCGCGTCTTGTGCCTGGCGCGGGCCGCTCCCAGCCGGACGTCGTGCTCCTGGACGACACTATAACTGTGGGAAGAGTCGCGTATACTCGAGGCTTTCCGTTACAATTAACCATTTATCGACGATTGCTGAAAATATGGAGCTGAACCCACTATTAAATCCTACCGCTCCATCGCGTGGGTCCGAGTGAAGGGGTGAATGTCCCTACACTTCAAAGAGCCATTTTGTGAGAACAACCAGGCCCTTGCGCCTGGTTAGTAGGACGTGGCTTGAAATTCGACAACTGGTGCTCGAGACGCTGTGCTGTTGAACTCCTTACACAACCGATCGCGGACACAGAAACGGTGCACGCACGCACCGGTCCCCGCATGACCGTCCGCCGCACTATTGCGTAGCAAGGGGTAGGTAGTGACCCGTATATAGTAAACGCAAGGCTTCATAGTCCAATATCTAGTAGATATTATCTACTTTCTAGAGATCATATTAGCATAGATGTCATCAGAATATAAGTATAATATCTCTCGAAAATGTATTCTAAGCTATTCTCAGTTGTGCACACGTACGCAAAGTACTACAGTACAAGATTTCGAGTCCTGCACTGGGTCTGCAACACTCCCGGCGCGGCAAGGTGAGAAGAAAGTGTCTAGAAGCCATAAACCAATAGTATTACTATAATAGTATCAATCCAGACTATAGTCGAGATACGGATTCTAACCAACCACTCTACCATTTTACGATGATGTTGCGAGTTGTACTGCTCATACAATGCATGTCCCGATAATTGTGTAGAAGTAGACAATTATGATGAGCTTGTGGCTGGCTAGGCTAGCATGATGGTAGTTCAATCACATACTCTAATCCAATTACGAAATTGAGGAGCAAAGGCTTCTATCGGTGATCAAAGGTATCTATCTGTGTGGGTTCTATCGTAGCCCCACTATTGATTATTGTTATCATACCTCATATCTCCGGCCATCATAAGCCATCACTCCGACCGGAAGTGGGGGCTCGACGGATACTACGACGTAGTTATGAGCGGCTCTCTGATGATAATCTAACGGCAGTGGTGATATATATGATGCCTCCGGGAGTAAAGGAGACGCTTGACCTATCAGCAAAGAAGCGGCCATCGAAGGCCAGTGATGAGAGTCTTAGCTCTGAGAGTATCAAGCGGCAACGTAAATGATCATACTCTCACTAGTTGCATTATGCCGCATCTTCATACCCATTGGCTTGTGTTAAGGCTCCGCCCATTCTCTGTCCAGCTTGTGGCTGTTAGGCCAGGAGGGAGTAAGACCATCAGTGAGGCCGTACAATTTAAGGCAATTCACAGTCGGAAGTGTATGCACTATGCCCTATGAGGCACGTGTCATTCCTGTAAGACATCACGTAACACGCTGAATCGAAGCGTAACGAAATCACGCTGCTATCACGCGTCGACGCGCAATCGGTAGGAGGTCAGCAGCAGTACCACCCACAATCCTTTCGCGAACAATGGTTTCCCTGGTCTATGCAATGCATAGTATGCATACCCATCAGAGGGGAAGGAACCCATGATGGTACCACGGCACAAAGGCCTGCGGTTGGTTCTGTCTAATATACAGTGTCTATAAACTCTATAGAGTTGATGCAGTGAGATATGCACGCAGTCGTAGTACAAAGCAGAGCGTTTGAGGTGGCATGCTTCACATTTGTACACGCAGTTCCAGCATCCATATTCAGGCACCATCTAGATGCTGATGCTTCCTTCTTTCTTGTGTATCAAGCCTTGTAACAGAAGAAGAGGATCCTTCTATCTTCCTTCCATCTGCCCTAAGAGCAGATGGATAGACTATTCTCCGAGGATGATGTACAACTGTAGATAATCCTACTGTGTAGGACTCTTTTGCTGCTGCTACCTTAAACAACGTCCACAGAGGCGATCGAGGGCCTCGATTCGAGGCTGCATCGGGATCTTGGAGATACCGGAAGGATCATGACATTGTGGTGAAGAAGAAGGAACATGATGAGGATCCGGATCCGGATGCGGATGAGATGGGGTCATCATGACACCCATCTCAGATAATCAAGAGCTCAATGCATTGGTAGCTCGGGTATAGGAAGCCGATGGATACAAGGAGAGGAAGTCCGAGCTGGAGAAGGAGCAATATGATACGGAATCTATGAGATTGAGAGGGTGGGAGGGAATGTTCGATGATCATGCTCTCAGAGCATTGCTCTGTAAATGCGCCACTGCAGGAGGCGGATGCCTTGATGGAAAATAGTGAGAGGCTATTGGAGAGTTTCGAAGAAGCCAAGGCAACAGTACAGTAAGCACAGCGACAACAGAGTGCTGCAGAGGAGAAGAAGACGATGGCTGAGGAACGCGACCAACTACAGATGAGGTGACTATGAGGCAAGGTCTTCTGATACATACATCACACCTATAGATTTTCCAATGATTGTAGCTTCGAGAAGGAACACAAGAGAGAACCAACGGAGGTGGCAATGGCAGAGCTCCGAGGCAGGAATAAGTAGCTGGTAAGTATGGTGCAGTGGGCGCTCCTACTCCACTATAGCCAGGGGTGAGCGGATGGTCTAGGGTCCCTAGACTAGGGAGTGTTCACACTGTTCAGACATGCAGTGAGGTGGAGGACCTCCACTGGAGGTGGCTGGACGGATCGATGCCACGAGGAAGGAATTACGTGATCTGGAAGATAGGCTTGAAGATGTTGACGTCAGTATCGTGAAAGTAGGGTATGCTGCACTCCACGTGGTGTGTTTCGGGAGCTCTACTTCAGGTCAGAGCTGCTCAAGAGTCTCTGACCATCCGTCGTAGTAAGGTAGATGATGATATTGGAGGAGGATGATCGACAGGAGAGATAGTCGGGAAGTACGGAGTCCGCACTGCGGACGGCACAGGGAGTCCTTGGTGATTTCTTACACTCAGTGGCCGCGTTAATGCTCTATGATCCTGCCAGCCCCATTGAGACTCCTATCCAGCGGATAGGACTCTCAATGGGGCATGCGTGGATAGTATCCACCGTTTCTCATTGGTATCATCGAGGATGTGTTTGCTTCAGATGCTTCATGGGACCTGCTTTTACTGTAGGTTGATCAATTTATCATACAGGGTAGTGCGAAAAAAAGGGCCTACCCTTCGTGATTTCGCGGCGCGTGACAGCTTTTTGACAATATGGGCATCGTTCGGAGGTCCTCATTGAGCTCTTTCTAGCGCTATAGGAAGAACTCCGATATTCGGACTAATAGTACGAATTCGGTGCATAGTATGCACCGAGTTATTGTCCAGCGTAAAATCGGCTACATGGGGAAAAGCCGTGCCGGTTTTTACTTGGTGGCCTTTTCGTGACGAGAATTTCGTCGTCAAATGGTTCAATTGACGGGCTTGCAACGTCACTTCGTCGTTTGTCTGCGTGAAGACAAGCCGATGTGCGGTACAAAGACGGATCCCGCTGCGGGGTCCGTGACAGTAGAGCTTGGGCTAAATAGCCGCAGTGGTCCTCAGCAGTACCAATCAGCACAGTACTGTACTTTGCCGGTGAGTGATGGGTTAGCTGGGGAATTGCCGCGACCAGGAGTTGAACTTGGATGCAGTTTGTGCCACGAACTTTGTGGGTCCCACAATGTGGGAATTGTCGGTTCCCACGAAGACTTTGCGGACTGGAGTACCATTCCAGTCGAACCCACGTACAGATCGTAAATGATACTTTGAGAGAAATGCAGTCGCTGGGAATTAAGCTTCCTTATATGTATGAATCTAGTGGTTCGGTCCTGGTAGTACTGTATAGTAGTTCTACTACTGTCTGTCAGTGCAGAATCCACACAGTGCACTACACGTTCCTTGCCAAGCGCACCATCCGTCCTTGGTGTGCATCCAAGGTCGCGGTCAATCATCTATCTCGTCATATGAAATGCCAATTGGGAGAAGAGACAGCCAAGGAAGTATGCATTAGACAGGGAGAGTAATGTTAGGGTAGGAATCGGTTATGAGAACGGTCGAAATGTGATA